AAAGGTGAAGGTTTGGATGTGTGCTGGTGTTTACGCTAATTGATCGGCTTCAAATTAACAACTAGTTTTAATCAGTCTCCATGGTTAGTAGCTTGAAGGCCTCGTCGTTTCTAAATTCATGCGTTAATGCAAGATAGCGGGCGCTCTTGCATTGAGCACTTCTTTAGATGAGAGTAGAGGTTGTTGCAAGTCTCCGAATTTCGAAAAGCAAAGAACATAACATGTGGGATCCAGTCACCAAAACGTCCATGGAAAATCTTAAATCATGCTAAAAATAAAATGAATAATCCGCCTGGTCTGAGGCAAGGCCAAAAATAGCCGTGGAAAGGGGCGGGGGAGAGCTGGGTGTCTCAGACGCGGGCAGGGGCTGTTTGTCCACTCCCCAACCCACCTGCGTAAATTGGCTGCACAAAGTCCACAAATCGGACACGATGCCCAAGTGGCGAACAAACCGGAGTTCAGGCTCAATACGGTTTAAAAAATCTCGGTTTCATTGAATATAAAATACCTGAAGGTTCCTCAAGTTGGTGAATCGTGCCCAACCGAATGCCCTCGCCAGTCAGTGTGAGTTGAAGTTTGTGCTTGTGTACGAGCATGCACCTTATTCCCAGACCATTGTGCTATATCGCCCAGGAGACACAGGAACGGGTTCCCTTTGCCAAGGTAGCGAATTGTAGATGAATCGAATGCGAAGCTAGTGACTCAGGGGTCGGCAAACTGGGTGGGGTGTTTGTTTGTTCATTTGCGCGCGTGTGGTCAGAACTTCGTATTTCTTATTTAGCAGAACTTCATATGAATCATTCCTTTCGACATAGCTGCGCACAAAGCTCTCTCCTTGAATGTCGACGTTGCCACACTCTTAGGACCCCGCAGGTGTTTCTTTACAAGTTCTAAATAGGCAGTGCTGTAATTTACTGAAAAAGAAAAAGTTGCAGATTGTGATTGCACGCAAATATTTGGTTCTCCCAAAATTTGGGCGAAAATGCATGAACAATCGTCGACACCAAAGCTTTCTTCCGAATAATAATTCCCAGCCCCACTTAACTATTCCCCTTTAAGGAGACGACGACTTCAAGACATGAGGCGGTAGACGTGCAGTGAAATTGCTCGAGTAAAGCACCTGCTGAAGAAGGGAGCGATGTCGATACAAACCGTGCTCATCTTCTCCTCATTTGCGGTTGTGCACTGTTCCAAGCCTTTTGTTATATCCTACTTAGTAAAGGAAATCAATTTCAATCTGACAACCTTAGATGCTGAATAGTTATTTAAACTTCTATATTGCTATTGCTATTTGGGTATCAAAAACTTTAGTAATTATATTCTACGATTATCTCATGAAAGACAAAAGTATTAACTGTAAGGGGGGTATTCACAAAAAGACTTTAAGACAAGCTAAAAGAGACGTCACGATGCCGTGCAAGTGTCACATGGACTCTGCTACAAAGCACTTTTTAAAAACCCAACTTACTGGCTTGGTCCCGAACCTCAATCACGATGAGCCATTTTGAACCCCCTCACTATATTCCCCACAGAACCATGGGCCTATACGTTGCCCGGAATGGCGGATTTTGTGGCGCGTCGAGTGCAGCAGAAGGAGCGTGGCCTGAAGGCACCTTTCGACTCCTCGAGCGAAAGAATCACGATGACGGGGCCACGAAAGACGACGGGGCCACGAAAGACGACGGGACCTGGGCCCACGGAATACCAGCCCCCGAACACCTCCATGAAGCGCATCCTTCCTGCCATCATCTCTGCATTCAAAGACAAACCTAGATCGGTCAAGCCTAAAGTGAGTGTGTTTTATGGATCTGCGATTGGCTAAAGTTAGGAGAGTAACCCATGCCGAAGCCTTCGGTACACACGGGTCTCCCACTTCTGAGCTGCTTCGTATGCGCTTCCGAAAAGTGAAAAGCTCTTATTTAAAATTTCTGCACTTGTGTTTGTGCTAGAATAAGTAGGATTTGAGACGATGACAAAGTCCACTTGCTTAATAGATGTTCAGCTTCCAATGCCTCCAATGTCCTGTCGATATTTCTCTAAAACTAAGTCTAACTTGCATGGGATCAGGCAGTATGGAATATGACGTTTGTACTTGGTTTATGACAAATACATTATAGCACCAACGGGTCAAGTATACGGTTACGTAGTAGTAGTCTCTAATTCCAATCGTGATCCGAATCTACAATTTTCCGCGTCGGCTTAAAATGATCGTGAGTTTCACACGGAATATTCATGCAATTCATTTTTGGGTGGGCTTTCGGCACTAAATATAAATTAAGCAATGCCAAATTTAGATGCAGCCTGAACTCTATCTCGTAAATAAAATTTTTAACTGGAGTTTAACTGGTTGATATTTGCTTGCGGTACTGTTTAAAATGGAGGTTCTTTTTCCATCTGACTTTTGTTCCACGCTGCAAAATGGGGCTCATATAGCAGCTCGGGCATGGGATACTCGTATGTATTTTGCATGTTTCCACTGTGGAGGGAGGGCTTCATTCAGGATGCCAAATCTTCATAGGTTCTCCTCTTCCTATTTTCTACGTTGGACAGGAATTCAAGTCAGTTGTTAAGAGACGTAATATGTTTCTTCATAGGATCTCTTAAGATGCAGTAATCAAAATGAGTGGTCTTAACGTCTTTGCCCTTTCCACAGGACGTTCCACCTCCGAATGCCTACGACGTAACACCCTCCTACAGAGCCCTTAAGAACCAGAAAAGTTTCCATGTTTCTCGAAAAGCAGAGCCCCTTGATGGATTTCTGAATACTGAAGAGAGGTTCAACAAATTTGGGGAGGGTATAGCTCATGACGAATCTATTCCCGGTAAGTTGACTGCTTTGCTAAGTAGAAGACACAAACAAATGTTGTGTTCCCCGCGAAAGCATTTTAGTGAGATGTCAAATATGGGTAGATTCTAGTTCCTAAGACTTGATTTTGGGTCTGTAGGTTCCACAATGTAACAAATAACCTACATCAGTGGGCTGAAGCACCAATACTACCTTGGGCACCTTAATGTTGGGGTGCATACTCAGTTTCCTTGTTTTAAAAAACTCGGACAACCTTGACATATGGACATATTTTATCTGAATCTTTGACTTGTAGTAGGTTCCGCGAAAGATTTTGTCATTTTCTTTGTAAAGGTTTTTAGAGGAGCCACAAATACCATGCATCGTAGATTTGAGCAGCCAATGTTATAATAATGCCTGATGCCATTTTTAAATAAATTACCGTTAGGTTTAATAAATAAAGTGAAGCACTTTACAGCAAAGCGAATTAAACACAGTTGTACCGGGACTGATATTATTTACTGACTGTATTTAGCAAAATTCGCGTACAGAGAAAATTAAGCTTCAATTCACCCTGCCATAACCAAATGTGATGATTTTTGCAACTTAACAAGGCGATAGTCGGCCAGATTTTAACACTTTTAAGAAAGTAATGAAACAGTGTGAAGGCAAGTTAACAGAACCAGTGCATCGTACAAAATGTCGTGTTAGAGACGGTTCTGGAGCTGAGAGTCTTTAAATCTGGGGAGCCATTGCACACACCGAACAAATAATCGTATCCATGGGAACTTTCTAGAAGCAGTAAACATTGACTGATTCTCGCCACAGAGCAAAATGGGCAATCGTGTAATAGCTTATGCCCCAAAAATTCTTGGGCCTGGAAACGACATTCAAGTTCGAGGAACGTAAAATTTTAGGAAGGAAAGGACGCTTTGATGACACCTGCAAGTCTGCAGTAATACATTTTCTTCTTAAAAGCAAGTTAACACCCATTCCTTTGGTCTGTGAATATCAAGTTCACAAGCAATATACGGCTTCACAAAACTTCATAGATAGAATTACATTAATCTTAATTTACTCGTCACATTCAGTGAAAAGAACTTTGCAATACGACTTCAGGAATTCGTTTTAAATCAACATCTGACCAAACTATAGCATAGTTTGAAACGCATTGAATGGATCACCAGTGATGCTATTTGATTTAACCGACTTCACTGAAACAAAGCAGTAGTGGCTGAGCCAATGGCAAAAAATTGCAACAATAATTGGAGAAATCACTGGTAAATGTCAGTGAAAATTTTTATCCTACATCTGACTGCCAAAGATATAAAAACGTGTAAGGACTTACACTTTGTGCATTATATACAAACAAAGCGCCAAATAGTGAAGAATCAACCTCAAAAGCATTCAGTAGAAATGCTTGAAATGAAACGGCTATTTTTCCATGTATCATTATCATTTTCTGCACTTGCCAATGTAACGCTAATTTCTATGACTGTATAATAAGCAACAATTAATTTAGTCCTACACGTAGCTCGTCTTTAGCAGTCAGGGGCTAGTTTTATCGGCGTAATTGACTGCTGAATTTGATGATTCCATTTGGTTTCACACATTCGGTTTATTGACCAAATCATCCTTTCTCCATTACCATAGCAAACCTTGATGCAGCGTAGTCGGACTTCAGCATTTGGGCACATTGACTTTTTAAGAGCCATTCTTCAGCCCACTATAACTGGCCTGGTAACATTAGCAGAAAGCATAAATCGAAGTGTTTATTTGCCTTATCGAATGTGACCTTTTATCCAAAAGTAACACTTTTGAGAATTTGACCTGGCTTTGATGCGACCTCAAGATAATGATCCCATCTGCAAAAGTGCACAGTTTCGACAAAATGCCTAGTCCTAATTGAAGATCTTCTGCTTTTCCATGATCAGTTCAGCCATAAGCTATGGTTATTTGAAAACGGAGCAAATGCCCTTTACATCATTTTCGGCCCAGAGTATGAAGCAACTTTGATTGCGTGTCTTAGAAACGAGGGTTTAATTCCATTTTAATGCAAAATGGTTTTGTTTTGGTTAAATGGTCATAGGTCTCAATAATATTTGCCTTCCAGGTCTCTCCTTAGGTTTTAAAGTGAAAATATTATGGAAACATTAACCTATAGGTGAAGGTCAGGAAGATAGATTTTTCAAAATATTTCTACCTTTACCCACTTTATCATGACAAGTCAGTGTTACGGCTGCTTCATTTGGGTTCATAAACCGTCATAAACCCCTCCAGTCGCAGACTGCTTTTTGATATTCAATGACATCTTTTAACACTGCTTCCCCGGTAATGTTTACCAGCTTGTATATTCATGCGACGAGTTTTGTCAACTGGTAGTGTATAGTAGGCATTGTGCAGAGAAGCCTTGAACAACGTGCCATTTCTGACTGCATTCCAAGCGAGTTGCCTGTCTCCTAGGTCCAGGAGCCTACTGCATCAGACGCGATCCCCGGCCCAAACCGGGGTCAATTGTGCGGACGGAAGAGAGGTTCAAGTCCATGGATAACTCTCTACCAGGACCTGCAGATTATAAAGTGAGTCCAAATGTTCCATCTCTTCTGTTGAGCTTAATTTCCATTGGCTTAAACCAGCTCACTGTCCCGGAGTTTTGCGGCCGTCATTTCTGTGACACAACAAATTAAAAGAGAAGTTCTGTTGCTTTCTAGGCCAAATAATTTATGGAATCTCTCAGTGATTGAACCAAGTGCTTCGGCTTGGCATTAGATTTCCAATAATTATTCCGTGGAATTTGTCAAAAAACACCATACACCTCAGACAGGCCTAACAAGTTGCACCTACCTTTACACGGATTATTTTAGAGAGATTCAGCAACCCGTTCGTACACCCATGGGGCAAACGCGCTTACCGATCAGTGTGTTGGGTTGCTCTGCATGAGTAAACAGTGTCGTAAGAGCGAGCCCAAAATTCAATGCATAAATGCGTTTAAATGTCGTAGAGTCTCAGCAGACAATTGCCATGAGCATCCTGGCTAATCTTCATTCCTTAAAGGATCACATAATAAAGAACAATAGTAGTGCATGGATTTGAAAGCGATGGTTTCCTGTTTGAAGCTTCAAATGCAAGAGTTCCTCAGGTACAGGGCCACATTTCCTCTTGATCGCTCCTGTGTGGGCAGATGCCAATAATTCTATTCAACATTTTTTTGGCGAAACCAGCAGGGCATGGTCAAAAGCCCGGTTTGACTATTTTCCCTATTTTTCTCTTGACTAGACTTGGCATTTTTTCCTAGTTCCGTCGCCCAGCCCTCAAGTCTCCCCAAAAGATGCCTGTACGGTTAGGAAGAATTGCCCAGAGTAAACTAAATACCACGCACTAAATGGTGAATTGTGCCGACTTCATGCAAATTGACATGAAGAAAACTCGGCGCGTTACTTTTACTAATCTTATAAATGTGGGCGATGGCCCGTTCGCTTGTGCCTCATGAAGGCATTCATTCCGCCTCTTCTTTACGCCGGGTTCGGGCGAAGGACCCCTTTCTAACTTAAAGCAGAGTCTGCCATTTCCAAAAAAATGATGGTTCATTTTTCCATGATAAATGTTTTTGTATCACGCCTTAGAGATGGATCGCAGTGTCTTGGCATAACCGTGTGGCACTACTGACGAAGAGCCGTTCGATGCTAAAATAGCAAAAGCCTAGTACCTTCCAAGTAAGGTTTGTGGTGCCTGGTTGTCTATAAATAGGGGACTACTTAAATCGAACTCCAACTTATAAATGAAATAACGGCAATGAGATTACGAGAAGTTGATTAGAATCTTGTTATTGTCCTATGTGGAGATGCCAGCTTTGCCGGGCTTTTAGATTTGTCATTTGACGCGCAAAAAGAATAGCGCTGAATGGCATTCTATTAAGGTCATTAATTTGTCGAAGTGATTACTCACAGGATTTAGGTTATTGGAGAGACTCATGCGTCCAATCACCCTCCAGACGGTTTTGTGTCCTTGCGTAGACAAAGTTGTTTGTCAGAGCGAAAGCTAATCAATACAGGACTGCTAATGCGAGTAAGCTGTGAGGCTGAATAGATAGTCAGACTTTGGCAACCAGCAACATTCACTAAATCGAATTCATTCTACACACAAGCACATGTTAGGTGAAGTTAATAAAGTGCAATGTGAGTCGCATATACCCAAACGTAGCGTGTACAGCCAAGAAGAAACAGTCTAGTCTTCCATTTGCACAGGAACCACTGGTGTGATTCACCTTGTCCAAAACGCAACCACCAGGAAGTGTTAGTGTTTTTGAGTATTTGATAGCGCGTTTAAATGGGCGAAATACATAGGATCAGTGTAGGCATAACCACCTGAGGCCAAAACTTTTCAACGTTTCTGTGCTTCTGATAGGAAACGGTGATAATTTGGTTTACTGGCATTGAGGCGATAGAAATAACGCGCAAAATTAAAGGCTTAGTTTCGAATTTGACTGATTAACCCTAGTGGGGATTCATTTCGGAGCTAGAAATTAAACATCACTGTTCATGTGTTGAAATCATTACTTTTAAACTTGTTACAGCACAGCTTTTCACGCACATGCTACCTGATCTTAGTAAGTCTCATGTCAGCCTCCACGTGAGAACAAAACTGAACTACAAACCAGATCAAGTTAAGAGCCGTTGCACGCAGTAATGCTAAATCGCAAACTCGTCCTTTTTTGGTGCAAATATAACTTTGGTTTGGTGGTTTGGCTATTACATTATGAGTATTGAAGTCGATAAAGTCATACACTTCTGTTCTCGCAACCCTGTTGAGGGCTTCTGACATTCAGACTTGATTTGTTTGCACAATTAATAGCAAAGTTAATCACCAGGTTAAGTTGATGAGAAACTTAACAGTCCAAGATCCTTGGTGTGAATGTGCTTAACATGCAGGTTTACTTATACGGTGATTGATAAGGACACGTCAGAACCACGTTTCCACTTGTCCCCGAAATCCCTATCGCCGCACAAACTATTGTTAATGAAATTCTGCGTCAGTTGACAGCTGCGCATTCGTGACAGGGCCATCTGGTCAATCTTGACAGGAACGATGGCGCAATATTTGCGTCAACCAGCATCCTATAATTTCAAAAGTTGCTCCACTCAAGCTGAAATCTAACGCTACATTAAAAAAATTACCATTGAAATCGGTTTCGTCGTCATTTTGGGATATTGGATTTGTAAAGTCCGTCTTCGTCTTTCCATCAAAGAAACATTCAATGTTTTATCTTGTGTTTCAAAAATTCTCAGTAGTGTTTTTTATTACTAAGGTTGCCAATTTTCACTACTGCTACCAGATAAGTTGTTCAAGTATTCTCCACCAAAAGCCTAACGGTACAAAGATCTCATTTGCCACGCCACGAGAATCATTTGACGTTGTCAACACATGCATGTAATCATTATCCAATCTCATTAAAATTTAATTTAACCTAACAAAGAAATACATTGTTTGGATTTGTCATCGGTAATCCAAAGCCAAACAGGATCTGTAATTATGGTGTTCGTCCGATGTCACGTGCAAACTAGTGTCCACCCCACCGTCAATTTCGAAACTGCGTCGATTTTGTAGCTTGATAAACGTTTCTAAACGGATTTAGTAGATTTTAAGTGTTTTCTTATCAAAAGTGGTTGCCTGACTAATTCCTGGCCAGAAATTAATTTACCACCGCCACACAAGCCACTGTCTAGCCTCAGGTTTGCCGCCAGTTGGGAAAACCAAAGGCAAGTGTCCAGTTCATCGCCTCCCTCCAGCCGCGCTAATCCACCCAGGCCAAACAGGTATTAGCGACGGAGTTGTGGCGACAACTACCAGGTCAACTGAGGCTTAGGCCTTCTCTGATTTTAGGGATTTCCCGCTCCCCCCCCCAGCGGCTCTCCTTTATAATCCTGGGGTCATGTGGTCCAGACACAAATTCGCAGTCATTTTAAGTGCCTTAAAATGTGTGTGATTGCGGCATAATCTATTTCAACAACACAAGTGGGAAATGACTTCCACATAGGTACACAAATTACACAAACAAACAGTAAAGTAGGTATTTTCATGGAGCGAGGCTTGAGAACTGTGCTGTCAACTAAAAGACTTTGGTTGCCTTGCTTCTACAGAAGGATGCTTAATGATTCACTTTGCCAGTGGCTTTCTGGTGCATCATTAATGTGGTTATCTTGCATTTCACACAAGTTCCTCTAGTTTTATATGTGCATCATAAGAGTTTAAGCTCATTGTTTTATATTGGTGCAAGTCTAAATGACAAGTTGGGCTAAAATACGCGGAATCAGTTAAGATTTTCGCGCAAAAAATCACGTAAGTTGATTGTCACATTTAACACTAATAATATTTCATACAAGTGTATTTTTCGAGTTAACATTTTGGTTTACCGCATTCTCGGTAGTCCCTAACACAAATTGCATTTTTTTCACGAATTACACCACAAAGTCCTAAATCAGTGGTTTCTGAAACACTCACAACTGTAAACAAATTAGTGTTTACCTAGTGTAGGTTGAATTAGGAAGCGAATCAGCGTTAGAAAGTTCCAAAAAAGCTTTAAGAAATTGCCTTGTGAAAAGTCAGCATGGTCAAAATTCACGCAGTCAAAGCACACTTACTTTATTCGTTTGACAAAACCGCAGTTTGGCTGTTATTGCAGGTAAGAAGTGTGGTGATATGGAGTTCGAATTTTCTAAAGTCCACTCACAACTGCAGTTTAGACAGCATTTGTCACATTCGTTGCAGCAAAAGTTACTTGGGCTTACACTGGAGGGTTTCGTATTTTCTGGTAACATTTCCAATTGCTTACTGACGCATATTTCCCACAATTAACACGTGACTAACGTTAGTAAACCGCCCTAGTTTGGGATGCTTGCATATACCGTGGTTCCTCTCTGTCATCAAATTTAATGTCATTCAATAATTTGGCCTGAATCAAGTGCCGCAGTAAGTAAGACTTTCTGAAAATTCCATAGTGGCTAGAAAGTTACGTAACTTTCTGGGTGAAAATCTCTGGTCTCTTTGTTTGGGTGATTTTAAAAGAGGCTTTATGTCTTTGATTGGAGTCTATTCCTTTTGAAAATTTGATGGAATGGTGGTTAAAAGACAACTACATGCATTGACATCGTGTGCCATGGTTTTTGTGGGATTCCAAATTAAATTTTGCTAGTGCTGATGGTATTAACTAGGCTCACAGGTGAAAGTATTGCTGGGGTTATTAAGCCACCCACAGGTCACGTCATTCCCGAAGCAGTTTTTGCACCATCGACTAGGCGGAGTAATGTTCATGCGCTTAGTCACACTTAGCAAAAGTGTTTTGGGTGAATTCATTTGAACAACTTAGTTAGAGGTTTGGCAGCGTACGGTCATTAATCACAAACCCAGAAGCGAAGCATTGAATAGACGCAGCTGAGATAATAAGATCCACAAAAAAATGTACTGGCCGCTGTTAACTGAAATGAATACTTTCGACTTGGCTCGACTTTTGTCAGTGATTACGCGGGTCGAGTGGCCTAACGTCTGCATGCAGTGACCCAACGGGTACTCTACAGCGCAAAGGGGATCCATTAATTTATAAGCGTTTTGAGGGATTTACAAACTTGGATTCTGCAATTTTACCCCCATTTATGGTTGCCCAGTCTACTTCACACATGACGAGTTGCTGTCA